ACCATGGGCTCGGACTCGGACGTCGACGACCCGCACCCCGCCGCCAAGCTCCCTGTCCCCCCCCCCGCACAGCCCCCCGCAGACCAGCCCACCCTCTCTATCGAGTGGAGGGGCGATGACGGCGAGTCATATGGCGAGGACTTCCCCCTCGACAAGGTCCCTAACCTTGCCTCCTTAACTCTCCATTCCCGCCCCTCCGTCTCCCCGCCTGGTCCCGCCGCGCCCGACCCGCCGCTGCATCCGGCCGGGTACGCCTCGGAGCCCCAGCCTTTGACCCCGCCCCCGCAGGCTGCGACTGCGGCCACGCCGACCGCAGTCTCGACCACGCCTATCTCCGAACCGAACCAAGCATCCCTCGCATCCAGACCCGGCCCTTGCTTCTTGTTTCCCGTCTCTCAAGATCCCGACCAGGACACTGCCGGAGAGGACCAGGATCCCGACGAAACATCTCAGCCGGTTTTGCTGCCTGGCTATCAGGGTGTGTCTAGCCGCGCCGCGGTTTCAGAATCTGCTATACTCGCCCCCGAATCTTCTGCTTCCGTCCCAGATATTGCCCCTTCTCCTCCATCCCCGCCTTTAGCAACGTCGGAAACCCCGAAACCTACCTCAGAATCCCCGCGTTCCATTCCTATCTTACGCGTTGCTGGCCTTCCAAACTTTTCTGTGCATAGTGACAAGGCAGCCCCGGCCAATGTGGGGAGCTCCGACTCGGACCTGCACAACCTTTCAGAGTCACGAAGCGAACTGGCCCCGAACTCAGGCGCGGACCCCGCGATATGTCAATCTGGTAGCCAAGGAGCTTCTTCAAGCAAGTCGGGCTCGATTCGAGGTTGTGCGGAGCGCAAGGTATCTGGCCTTCGTCAGTCCATTCGCAACCGCGCCAGGATAGGTTCCATGCCAAAGCCTTTGACGAGGCTCAACCGCGTCAGAATGGAACAGCGAAACGACGCAGGTGCCTCTGCTCAGGGTAGTGCGTCTCGGTCCAGAAGCAGGGCTCGAAGCCGCGGGCCTTCATTTAACTTTGGTCGAAGCTCGGCCGCGAAAAACCTCGACAAGCAAATACCTGCGCGGCCGCAAAGCACGCCACCTGACGGCGTGGCGATCACGCAGCAGGGTATAGCTGCGAACGTTGAACTCACGAAGGCGACAGCTGCACCTCCGGCATTGCCGGCGGAGCACATGCTGGGTGCACGCGAAGATGCAGATACGGTTGTGTTTGAAAAAGTGGCGGTGAAGCAAGCGAGGAAGTGTAGTACGGGACCTTCTGAGAGATTCAACCCTGTGACAAAGGAGCACTCGTTTCTTGAATGTCTTTCAGAGGTGATGAAGGGGGCAAATGTAAACAGAAAGAAAAACATGTTGCAGATGACCGAGGCTCGGATTTGGCTTCGGCCTGACATGGAGGCAGTTGAATACCGACATTTGAAGAAAGGGGCCGCTCCGGGAAAGGTAGCGATTGTGTTGCGGCGAGTGCGGAAAGTGAAGGCGACGGATAGGGACCTGCAGTTGGACGTGGAGGACGAGAAGAAGG